TAATTCCTTAATCCTCGTTTCCAAGTCTTTTAACGTTCTTTCAAAATTATCCTTTAAATCCATTTTTTTTTTTTTTTGTTTAGATTTTTAATTTAAATTGTTCGGATGGATTATTTCAATGAATTTTTATTGCTTTTCTTGTCATCAAAATTAACAATAGAAATTCTTTTTTGTTCAGCCCTCGGTTTTAAAATTTTTCCAACCGTAATTTTAACCATAAATAGCCTAGTACGCTCGGATAACTTAGAAAGGCTAACCGCTTCTTGTCTCACCAAATAATGGTCGGACATCAACTCGGAACTTTTCGGCGATTGTGCAAAGAAAATCACATGCATTGATCGTTCTTGAACGTTTTATCATACAGCCATTTGTTGAAAAGTGGTTTATCATTTTATCAATCTGATAATCTGATCATACTTCTGTATCTATTTAGATGTCGATGTAACCTTTTTATAAAAATTTTGTACACGGACACAAAAATTGAGTCTTTTGTTACACAAAAAAATACAAATGTTGTAATGATAATTTTGACGGAGGATAAAAGTAGCTAAGCTAAAACAAGTATGTTACATAGCAAACAAGGCCGCGCACATTGAAAATTTCAAGAATTCATTTCTGAAGTAGAAAAGGAAGTACTTTAGTTTACTGGTACCTGATGAAAAAGAGATGGAAATAATTAAATAAGATTTGTAGGTAATGGCATTCAAGATAATAATTTATATGATCATTTACATTTGGAAACTTTTCCTTAGATTGGTATCAAGAAATAGCTTAAACTGAAAAATTTTTTTCGTAATGTTTCCATGGCATGTGATACTTAAAAATGTGCCGATCACACTTACGTTCGTGTTACACGTCCGTTGTTTAATTCTTGTGAAACAGAAGTTTTCTATAAAAGAGACTCTTAACCAAATATTTCATTTATCCTTTTCTAACTTTATCTTTACTTTGAAATGGCTATCGAATATTTTCCAAGATTATCCCAGGATTTTTCACAATTGCTTGATGATGCAGAAGATTGTGATATCATTATTAGAATTGGAGAAAACTCAAGCATAAAAGAATTTCATGCACACTCAATTATCTTGAAGTCTCGATCACCTTATTTTAAAACATCCCTCTCGCAAAATTGGATAACAAAGATAGATAATGTGATTGACTTTAATAAACCAAATATTTCTCCAATAATTTTTGGTATGATTATTAGGTAATAACGGTACATGAAATTTTTTTCTATAAAAAGTCCATAAGAACTTAAATAATTATATTTTCTTGTCAACGTTTACATGTTCTGTGTCACGTTCGACGCAGAAATTAACCAACAATATTGTAATAACGAAACGAATTACTAAACGTTTCAAATTTTCAAATTATATACATATTTTTTTTAGATATATTTATGCTGGTAGACTTGATTTTCATGAAAAAGATTGTTCTGATATCTTTCTTAGCATCCGATGAATTACTTCTTGATGAATTGGTTACATCTGTACAAGAGTATATGATTAAAAATCAATCCGAATGGTTGCAACAAAATTTTTCAAAGGTTTTTCACACGGTTTTCCAATTAGAAAGCTGTAAACAACTCCAAAATTATTGTTTAGAAGTTATATGTGATGATCCAGAAACTTTTTTTGATTCACCAAATTTTCCAACATTAGATGAAAGTATTCTACTTGGATTAGTTAAAAGAGATGATTTACAAATTGATGAAATTGAATTATGGAATTATCTTGTTAAATGGGGGATTTCTCAAACTTCGGAATTGAAAGGAAAGACGATGACGAATTTAAGTAATTGGAATAAAAATGATTTTAAGGCTTTAAAAGGTGTTTTGAATCAATTTATTGCACACATTCGATTCTTTGAAATTTCTACAAAAGAATTTTATAAAAATATTTGGCCACTTAAGAAGGTGTTACCTGAAGCACTCTTCGAAGATATTGTGTCATTTTATATGACAAATACCATACCAAATCAACATATATTGACTCCTCGTCATGGAAAATCACCGTAGATTCGTTAATCATTAAACCAAAACATGCGTCAATCCTTGCTAATTGGATTCAAAGAAAAGAGTTTATTGCAAGAAATCCAAAGGATGTTAAATATAACTTTAACCTTATATATCGTGGAAGTAGAGATGGTTATGATACCAATATCATGCGAAATAAGTGTGATGGACAAGGGGCATGCATTTTGATCATTAAAACTAATATGGATGAAACGATAATTGGTGTTTATGATCCACTTGGTTGGAGTATTAATTGTTCTAGTTGGGGTCAAGCAGATTGCTGGTCTAATACTACCGAAAGTTTTCTTTTTTCTTTAGGTAATGGAAAAGATTTAAAGAATTTTAAAATTAGTCGTGTGGTGAATAGTAATTATGCAATATATGAAAATATTTTTCATTATTTACCATTAAGTTTTGGCGATAGAGATTTGGTTATCAATAATAATGCTGGAACGTGCAATCGAACCTATTATGAAAGTAGCATTTTAGATACAAATAATTTTACCATCGAAGAAATGGAGATTCATAAATTTTATAAAGAAAGGTTGAAGAGTTTATGAAGAATTTTTTTATTATAAGCATTTCAGATAAAATAGTAAATGTATGATACTTTTGTCTTTTTTTTTTTTTTTTACTTATATATATACACCAAGCGTTTATGTAATAAAAACATTATATTTTTAATCAATGACATTTTTTATTGTGATTGAAGTCTTCTTAGGTTACTTAAATATAATGGTGTTTAAGTTTCTTCGGCAAGCGAATAAATTGTGGAATCCACTAATACAGTGGCGGTCAAAAGTATTGCATCACCCGAACACAAATTTTAAAATTGCAATTTTTTGACAATTAAGGCGGC